ATGCTTTACGGACATTTCACATGTTAAACTAATCTAGTTTTACATATAAAGGGCAAATATTATTGTTTGAGTCGTCTCATATAAATGTTATATGCTTAAACGATAAAGTCCAAGGAATATGTGATTGGGAGAATGTAATCTAATGAAGTTAGATTCATGAGACCATTCTTTCGTAGACACATCCTAAATGTTCCTGATCATAGGATTGTCAATTGGGCATTGACAGTCCGTTAAGATCGGTACGTACTATGTCTTCTCTCAGGGAGAGTGATTAGTCTCGAGTCATTGGTGTGTGTGACATCAAGACAAGTACGTAGGTGCTCAATAGAGAATGAGTACACTGAACGTGATCAACGAAGAGTTCTCATATTCCATGTCACATAAGAACTCATGGTTGGGATAATGCAAAGTAGTCCTTTGACCTGAGGCATCACAGTTGTCTTGTGGTTAAGTCCTTGATCTTTGATTATGTCAAAGTCACCCCTCGGGGTGTCCACGGCATCGTTGGGGTCAAGTGACTTAGCTATGGAGACAAGTGAATGCGCAACAAGGGATCTCTAACCTTCAAACAGTTGAGGGAGAATACTCTATGATATGATTTAGAATCTCTGGCCAGAGTGTGAATGAGATTAGGGAATGCGTTCCAAATCACATTCAAGTAAATCATATAAGCACAAGATTCACATTGGATAGTAGACATGAACAAATAAACTATCAAACCAAACAATGTGGTCAAGAGTATTAGATTAGAGAAAGACCGTATTGCATTTGTAATCCCGAACTGAATAGGTTCTCTAACCTCTTCTGATTAGCTTGGGTAACCATGACATGCTGCTAGGCGTCAACCATGGTTTGTGGAAGCCCTAAACGTGTGTAATCACTAAAGGGAGAATTGAAAATAGTTTCAATTCACAATCGATGTAAAATGGTTTTAATCGCCCACTACCTCGCTAAAAGGAACCTAATGGATCGCACACCATAAAAGGTGGAGATTGAAGATTAAACGGAGATGAGTAAGAATGATTAAATGGTTTAATCATTTAAATTATGGCAAGGATTAATTAATATGTTAATTAATCAAACGAATAAGTTCGTTAAAGACCTCGGGATAGTTTTGGACCTTAAGGCCCAATGGGCTTCGAAAGTCAAGCCCATTGACTTAAGTTGTATGACAACTTAATGAATAAAGATTCACAAAGGCCCAAAAGCCCAAAAAATCCCTAGGTAGGCCGGCCATGTTAGATGAATTAGGGTTTTGGTTCTTTAGGTCACTTATTTGAAGGGACTATATAAATGACTTTATAGCCAAATATTCATTATGTGATTAAGGGTTTTTATTTTGGGGAAAATTGGTGAGAATAGTCTCTCCATTTCTCTCTAAAGAAGCCAACACCTTGGAGGGTACATCTAGCAATCCTAACAACTCCAAGGTCACTCATTTCTTCTACAATCTAACCTTGGTGAAGAGACTTAGAGGTTCTCAATTTTGGGAACTTGGAGAACCTATTTTTCCATCCAAATCCATGGATCTAAGAAGCAAGGAATGAAGGCCCTATCTCTTTGGGTGATTAGCCTTTGCTTATGCAAAGAGGAATCCACAAAGGTAAAAAAATTTCAACTCACTTTGTTTTGAGTTGATTATTGGTTCACCAATCTACTAGGCTTTGAATTTCATGGTAATGTTTTGTTTTTGGGTGCATACAAGCATGATTCCGCCTTTAATTGTTAATTGCATGCTATATGATGTTGCTCAAATGAACATGTTTTTCAAAATAATTCCTTCAGCTAGGCTATGAAGCAACAACAGTTGCAGCCCAAGGAGTAGCAGCTCATCGAGTAACTACAAAGCGGCAAGCCCACAGGGCAGCGCCTTAACAAGCTGCTGCAGCACAACTAGCCTAAGACCTTGCAGGCCCTGAACGTCACGCAAGCCTAAACCGCGCCAAGATGAATAAGGGCCCAAGACCCACGCGCCCATGCGGCCCCATCCGCACCTGAGATGCAGCCCGTGCCCGTGGTCCGCCTACTCTTGTGGCCCACCTAGCTACCCAAATCGGCCCAAGACCAGTTTAATTGTCCCGGCTTTATATTTTTGAATAGATGATTGAATCGGGGGTATTTTTCACCCTCTTTTTTCACAAATTTGACATATCCCAGTTTTAATCTCGCGCCTGAATTCCATTACAATTCCACCATTCAAGGAGACGTATAACGTCAAAGCTCTTCCATCCCACATGGCGAACAACACTTCACCCAACAAGTCGTATAATTAACGAGTGCCCTTATGCAGCAGACGACCTTAGTGAATCAGCTCTTGCAACGTATCGAGATGTAGCATGTCCCAGATGAGGTGTCCCAAAGCAGGACAAGGGCAAACGATGAACCTCTCCAACAGCGTCCATGCAAACAGCCCCTTGACCACTCATTAACTGAACGTTCTGGCAGTGTACACTTCCACCTGGGCCCCCCAATATAGCGTATACTCACGTCTTAGCACGCAGAGGAGCTTGCACTGCTGATTAGGCTCATAAACAAGCATACATCCATAATTGAGGCCACACACCGATAATCAACATGAACAAATTATGTAGGAAAAAGGAAAACACAAATCCTTTCTGATGGCATTTATAATTTTATTATAATTTAGAAATATGACATATTATCTTTGTCATCATTTTGGAAACAAAAAAAAAAGGGAACTTCAACAAAAAGCATCCGGTACTGTTCACTTTAACGAAAAACCACATTTTTACACTAAAAAGTCAATCCTGGTACTATTCACTTTACCCTTTATTTTGTCCTTATCATTAAAACTCAAAGTTTTCAAGCCCTTTTCATTAGTTTTCCTATAAAAAAATTCTGACGAAATGCAGTGACGGCCCAACTAGTTGGCTGATTGGGGCGTGGTGTGCACTCGCATTTAGTGGGATGTGGATATGTTGACTGCCCAGGTCAGTGACGTAGTGGCTCCTGCTGAAACACCCTGGACCTCGTATTGTAATTACCGTAGGATACGATCTCCTGCGGACAGGTCTACAATCAGAGAATCAACTGCTTTTTAACCTTTTTTTGTCTTTTTTGGTAAAATTTGGTCAAACGTCATGGAAATTTTTTCCATGTTCCGTAGCTTTTCGAGGTACGAAGTACGGACGGTCAAGATGAAAAATATGTAAATCTGACGGTTGTTAATAAGTTTGAAGATTGAAAATAATGAAACCGGTCAACCTGTGGACAAGAAGTAAAAGTGGTGGCCCACTTGCGTCCACCTGTCGGAAAAAATAGAAGCTAGCCCACCTTTCATCTCTCTCTCTCTCACCTCGCCCTGCTTCTCTTTCGTCACCGTTCCAGTCCCTCTCTCTCCTCTCTATCCAAATTCCTACGGGGCGGAGAGACGGAGAAATCGAAATTGCCGGCGAGTTAGGTGTAGTGGGGTTTCCAATTCGCCGCCATCCTCTCTCGGCGTTCGAACTCGAGCCAGAACCCTCCAGAAGCTCCAGAAGCAAGAGAATCAGAACCAATCGACTTCCATGGAGCCTGACCGGATTCCTCCTCCTTGCATTACCTCTATCTCGGGAGCCGCCGTGACGCGGAGAGATTTGGTGGCGGGGGTGTTGCCGTGTTGGTCTGTAGTGGGAGATAGGTTTAATGTGGGTGTGGTCCTCAAGGATTTAAATCCATTTTCCTATTTTTTCGACAGACCAAGACTTTTTCCTATTTTTTCTGACAAGTGGAGAGGTTGTGGGACCTAATTTTTACAGGCTACCTCCTATCATTTTCTGTGAACCACCAAGTTTAACCTAACGCTACGGAATATGGAAGTGAAACTCAAACTTATTTCATGGTAATAATTTAGAAACATGTAAATCCTAATTTCCATGAATACAGAGTCTAATGTTAAAATTCACCGTCGAAATGATAATTATATTAAATATATACTAGCATTTGTTTATATATATTTTTAGAAAATGAGAAGGAGAGAGGAAGAGAAAGAGAGAGAATGTTGGGGGGGGAAGGGGGGAATGGAGGTTTTTGTTTTTGGTTTTTTTTTGTTTTGTTTTGTTTTTTTAAATATTAGAGGTAGTTTAATATCATCCGTATGTGAGACTTCAATAAAAAATAGTAAAATTTGAACATGTGAAATTACGTTATTACCTATCATTTTTTTTTGTGTGATAGAAGATTAAGTTTTCTTTTCACCATCTTTTGGTTGCCAAGAAGGTTTCATTAATTAGTAGAGATAAGATCTTCTATGGTAAATTGAGCCTATAACACTATATTACATTGGTGAATTTTTTTTTTTTGTACAAGATATATTTTACACTATGGAGATGAGAAGTTCGGTTAAACCACACAATTGACAACCTAATTTGGTATTGAATTCACCATCCACGAGATTTGAACGTAATACTATAATACTAAATGGCTACATTGGTGAAAGTTAGAGTCATACTTTTTTATACAAATTTAATTATAAATATCACTCAATAGTTTAATATATAAGAAAACTAATGAAAAGGGCTCGAAAACTTTAAGTTTTAATGATAAGGACAAAATAAAGGGTAAAGTGAATACTACCAGGATTGACTTTTTAGTGTAAAAATATGGTTTTTCGTTAAAGTGAACAGTACCGGTGCTTTTCGTTAAAGTTCCCTTAATATATTGAATGCATGAGTTTAATATTATGAGTTCAATATATTGAACGCATGAGTTTAATATTATGAGTTCAATATATTACCATCAGATTTGAATTTTTCATTATAAAAGCGTAATTTTTATGGATAATACAAGAGAGACTAAATTTGCAAACTGTGTTAGGAATAAACACGTTTATCAACGTTCAAGTAATAAATCAATCATCAACTTCCATCTCTCTTGATTTCCAAAATTTTTTCTACAAATTTAATCTATTTAACATTACTCAATCTTTATAGGTTCACACACTTTTTCCAACATACTGCCACAATATTATAGTCAAATCCCTAAGTTATTCGATCCAAATCCAAAACTACGGCGTTTCGACCTTGAATGCGCCAATTCGGTACTGCAAGTCTGCGAGTGGTACAAACCAAACCCAAAGGGTGCTTTCACTGCTGAAGAACCGGAGGTTGTGGATCTCATCAGCTGAAACAGGCGGTGGAAGAAGACATGGGCGATCCCTACCGTATATACTTCACCTCGCCCGAAAGAGGTTCTCTGTTTTGACCTAAACCTAATTCCACAACCCCCAAATTCTCAATTTTCCTGCACACTTTCTCGCATTTTCTCAGCATCCAAAAAAGCTATTCATTACTTCATCAATTCAATGCTTTCTAATGCATGGTTTGATTGGAAAGTTTGTGTCTTACTTAATTAGATTGTTTTTCTGTTTAATACAAGATTAGAGAAATTGATGAATGATTGATGGGTGGATTATATTGTATTGTGACAGACAGTGTTGCAAGGCCAAGCTTTCCCGGCTACTTGTCGTCGGAAACACCCTCACTGCTATTCAATCCTACGATTCCCTCTACCGATACGCAGCGGAGTTATGCTTCCGATTTTCTGCAGGGAGATGTAAGAACTAAGAATTTGTTCGACACTAACGTAGTTACTATAAGGGCCTGTTTGTGACTGCTTCGGTAGGTATCACTTGTGTTCATAAGCACTTTTGCTAGAAGCCTATAAGTTCTTTTATTGGAAACAGGTCGAAATTTTATCAAAATCCAAGTGCTTATTGGAAATGAACTTTCAGTAGAAGTGCTTAATGACCCATAAATGATTTTAAGTTTAATCTGCCAAAGGCATTCAGAAGCGGTTTTGGTTGTTAGAAAGCGATTTTAGCCCTTCCGGAAACAGTCCCAGACAAGCCCTAAGTATATGATAATGTTCATTTTGTTAATGTATATGAATTATTGTGAAGGGATTGTGGTATTTGATCTGCTTGCAGATAAGATCAATGACTACTGGTACTGGGGTATATGCTGTAGATGATGCCGGAGGTCTTCGGTTTCGTCATGAGTCAGTTCTTGGTGTAACAGCAGGAGCCAGCACAAACGGTTATTCATCACTTTTAGAAGTTCCGAGTTTGATAAGCCAGAGACAGGATGTTGCTGCGGTAAGCATTAGTCCAAATGTTCCTGCTGACATAAGTTTAGAAAGGCCAACTGGCTCTTCGAGAAATGCCGATGGTCTTCCTGTGAAAGGGGAATCAAACGTTTTGTTTGTCGATGGACTTCCCACAGACTGTACCCGAAGAGAAGTAAGCCGTATCCTTTTACTCCTAAGTTCCTAACCCTGGATTCAGAGTTTATGGAAATGGATATGATTGTGGCTGAAATATGCTTATTCTATTGCTTTGTTCTGTCATTTAAAAACCTTGACTTGCAACGAAGATATATTTCGTCCATTTGTTGGCTTTAAAGATATCAGAGTCGTTCACAAGGAGCCTAGACGTGTAAGTCTTCTTATCTTCCTACTTCTTAATCTTCACAGACTTCATTATAGTTTCGCTAAGATTATGCGGTAACTTATACTGTAATTGGTGTTTTACCCTTTAGTTTAGCATAGCAGACAGGCTACGTGTGATCTAGCAACCATTTTTTTCCTTGAGGGGCACATAGTTATTGGTTTCTATTTCTATTAACGTCCTCGTACTTTTCTTTTGTTTGAGCTCGTCTCTATGTTTACTAGACCTTTACATGAACTGCAGAGTGGCGATAAGGCTATGGTTCTGTGCTTTGTGGAGTTTGCTGATCCGAAGTGTGCTCTGACTGCTAGGGAAGCTCTTCAAGGTATTATATGAGCAATTAACTCTGATCTATCCATGTCTGCCATATATGTGAAATCCATGTTCCAGTTATCAAATATACCATATGGCAATCGGTGTAATACTCTTAACCAATTTTTTTTCTTCGGGAAAAAATAACTTTTTACGGTTTAGAATCCCATTTGACATAAATAGTTAATTGATAAAGCTTCATTGAATCTAGTAATTTGAGTAAACTCATCGCTTATCAACGTCTGCAACATGGATGCGTGCAGGTTACAAGTTTGATAACAAGAAACCCGAGTCCCCTGCATTGAAGATCCATTTTGCACATTTTCCATTCAGTCTACCAGATGACGGCAATGAACATAGAATTCGAATCCCACGGTGACAAAAAATGGCGGATACGAAATCTGTCTGAGTTGTCTCGGTGCGTGGATGTTACAGAAACGAGTAATGTGCACAAGCAGCTCCAGCGCAAGTTTACGACGACGACACAGGAATGCCGGAAGATGCGGCTTGCTGGAGCCTGTTTCGTGATGTTTACGGTAGGTCTCAACTTACTATTTGTATATTGTGACGTTTTCAGTGAAGTCATTGGGACATAAACTGTTTCAAACGTAAGTGTTAAGCATGGAATATGCCTCCTACTTTGGGGAACTGTTGGCTGGACTTTATGATAACGACTTGATATTAAAGATTCTTAAACTAAATAGACTACTACAAGCTGAATGCATAAACTAATTAGACCATTACAAATTTGGTGCGAAGCAGGAGAGAATCTTGCATACAATCAAAGTTGCGACGGAATATCTTGTAGGCACCCAAGATTCTCCCATGTATGAGACACGAGATAAACTTTGGTAAGAATATCTTATTAAAGGCAATATTCACACGACAAGATCAATGCGAGGTCGGGAGGTTGGGTAGTACTTAAAGTATAAAGTGTCCTATGGTGTGAAAGGTGTTGTCTGAATAACGTACTCAGACAATCTACGCGAGAGAGATCATCCAAGCACTGAACGGATTATGCCCTTTCTCGAGCCACGAAATGGAGGTCATGGTGCATTTCTGTATTCTCTTAGTAAGGATAGTAAGGATTTGAAGATCCGTCAATCTTATCCGTTTTATATATCGTGTGATCAAAAATTATTTTAAATATTTTTATTTAAAATTAAATACATTACTTGACAAAAATTGAATAAACGATGTACAATGAACGAACACGATTTATATATTCTCAAAATCCTCATCAAAAAGATCCGAAGAGGATCCTGTTGGATAGAAAAGAAGGGAACAGATGTTCTTCGGATCCGCTTTCATCCGGATCCCGCGGATCTCTCTCCCATCACTCACCTCCCCCCCCTCCACCTCCCACCCCAATTCAAACTGCATGTTTCCCCGACCTTCAAACCCTCCGATTTTCTTCTTCTTTCTGTTTGCGGTTCTGGTTCGTCGATCGAGAAGAAGGCAAGAACGTTGAGGAGAAAGAGAGAGTGAGAGAGTTAAAAGAGCAAGAGTGATCTTAGCCGCACAATTTTACGTGCACGACTGAGGTTATTTGGTCCGAAGGAACCAGATGGAAATGATTTGGTCCGAAGGAACCAGATGGAAATGATCCGGAGAGGATTTTGTTCCAGAAAAATAGGGAAAAAAAACATCCAAAATAATTAATAAATAATTTGCCATGCAACTTCATTAGTCTCTTAATTGGCAATTGGAGTGAAATCTCATGTTACAACAACGTGTTTTCTGTGAACAACGTGTTTTCTGTGATCTTGATGTATATCTTTTACAAAGAGCCCCTCCACACAAATTACAAATAAGGGGGGAAAGAAAAATACCCGCCTCTTTACATGTACGTGTCAGATTGTGATTTGTTAATGACTTGTACATGTAACGAGTACGTGTCAGGCTGTGATTTGTGCATGTAACGAGCTGAGAAAAGTTACCTAAAGAAAACTTGTACCCGCGAGGCCGTGGTGCAATAAATTATGAGCAATGGCATCCCTGGCCTTCATCGAGCTCGTCGACCTCAGAGCGACCTCCGGGACCATCTCGTCGTCGATGAGCTCGAACCGGAGCTCGGGATCCATCTCCTCATTCCTCAACTCACAAATGTTGTGCAAAACACAGCACGCCCCGAGAACCACCGGCAAGTCCTGCAGCTTCACTTCCGTCCTCTTCTGCAAGCAAAGCCACCTCCCCTTCAACCTAGCAAACGCGTCTCTGGCGACATTCTGAATCTCCCCAATCTTCTCGTTGAAAGCGTGCTGGGTCCACGTTAGGTTCTGCTGGGTATACGGCACCAGCACCCAGTCCATCAGAGGGTACCCAGCACCCCCAACAATCCACACGTTCTTCAGCAGACCATTGTTAGCCCTCTGATTCAACGCCGATTTCTCCAGCACCTGATCATCCGGCATTGATCCTGGCCATCCGATGCACACGTCGGTAAAAACGCCTTTGGGGTCCACCACACCCTGCACGGTGATCGAGTAAGAAGTCTTCTGGTTCCTCTCGGTGTGCCGTTTATTGAAGTACGCAGCCACGCTGATTTTGGGTGCGATGATGGGTATATGCGTGGTGTACATAGACCCAGCAACGTTTGGAATTCCCGAAATACCCTCGAACTCATCTTTAATTTTCCTCGCCTCGCCCTCCTCCGGCCACTGCAGATACTTTGGCATCAGAACCGTCCGAATCGCGGAGCAGACCTCGAGAACGAGCTTGTGGCAGGTCGAGATGCCGAGGCCGAATCGTTTCGACACGAGGCGGAGCGCGTCGCCGGTGGCCAGACGCCACAGGCACACCGCCACTCTCTGCCGCACCGGAATCGCCGACCGCAGCGTCGTGTCCTCCTTCGCGATGGCGGAGTTAAGCTCCTCGCATATCAAATCGAACGTGGATTTCCCCATCCGAAACGCCTTTTTGAATTCCGATTCCGGAAAATCCGGCTGGTTGCACTCGTCCCACCACGCTTTCGACCTGTCCTTGACCCACAGCCGCCGATGTTGACCCGACCCGACTCCCGGCTTACCTTTATCAGCTCCATCGGCTTCCGTCGACACAGCCGCCGTCACCACGGCCGCCGAAACGGCGGCGCTTCTCGATTTTCTCCGCTTCATCGTTTCGGATTCTTCCACCTCCGAGGAGCACTCCTGGAAATTGGAGTAGCAATCGAGCATGGCCTTGGTTCTCTCCGTGTGCTTCTCTTGGATAAACGACGCGTCGTCATTCGATGCCCTGTCGTGCTCCCGCTCGTCCTGCTTCTCCTCCTCTTCTAGCAACGACAAGGAGGCGACTACGCCCTTCAGCTCCTTCTTCTTCTTCTCGCCGCCGCCGGAGTCTTTACGACGCCGTTTCCTGGCGTTTCCGTTTCCGTTCTCATTCATTTGCGCGTGGAGAGAGTTCTGGAGGAAGGTGTAGATGGTGGAGAGGCCTTCAGCTGCTGGGTGTGCTGCTGGGTCTGTCTGGAGCTCGAGTTTCATATAAGGTACAGATTTGCAGAAACAACAACAACAAGAAGGAAATTGAGGAGGAAGAAGAAGAACCAAGTGGCTTTTTGAAAATATGAAAAATGCAAGTGTGAACGCGGAGATTGACAAACTGAGAAAGTGTGGGGCGGAAGGAAGAAGTTTTGTAATATTGTATAAATATGGACTTATATGTCACTTGCCGTTCACACTTCACATCAGCATAAGCATGTAAGTCCAACACTCATATCAACGAGGCTGTTAATCGAATCTGCATCAATGTGCATAAATATTATTAATTTTCGCTACCGTGACAACTGATAATAATTATGAATTTAAGTAAATGTTTAGTTGGCACAAATACCTGGCTCTTTTTTTACATGCAGAAGATTTACGAACTCATGTTGTATTTAATGCGACGTAAAATGAATTGACAAGATTTAAAGAATTAAATTATATACCTTCATTTGTCTCATTAATGTTTCGGTGGAAAAGATGGTTTTTTTGTGTTAAAAAGTAGACTATGTGTGGATATCGTTGCAATAAATGTATCAACGTATATTACAAAAGTAAACCCATCACTCATACAAAGAAACCAACTTAACTAAAGTAGTAGTCTTTAATTGACAGCTAGTATTACAGTTTGATGGTATTCCTCACTTAAAAATAAGAGATCTTACGTTCGAATCTTATAGATGACGATTCGATACTAAATTAATTTGTATATTATGTAGCTTAACCGAATTTTTCATTTCTATAGTATAAAAATATCAATATACTACAAAAAAATTTATGTAAAATGTTAACATGATTTAATTGAAATCATTCAAATAAAAAAAAAAGAAAAAAAAGAAGATAATCCTACTTCGTGTGAAACGTGGATAAAAAACGCGGGTACAAAGGTGGCACTGGCAGGTGTGAACGCGGGTTTAGGGATGGTGGCGGTGGTGGGTCGGCTATGACGGTGACTTTGGGATTGCCCACCTTTTTTATATTTTATATTTAATTTCTGGGGTTTAAGGGTGTGTGAGTGAGTGATTGGAATGTTACTTTGTTGGAACAAAAGAACACCAACCCCACCTCATGCCTTTTGACAATTTTCATCAATTTTTGGAAAAATGTTGGGCATGAGAAATTGGGACCATAGATTTCGTGGGCCAACGCCATTTTCAAGCTTTGGAGAAAGGGTATAACCAATTGATTAGGGCAGTAAATGATTAAGACGTGTGTGATTTAAATGCGATTTGATTTTAAAAAGATTTTATATTTTTGTGAGATTGATCTGATTAGCTACGTGGTCAGGCATCCAAATAAAAAAATTTCTCCAAATTACTTATATCTTTAGAAGAGTCATGCTAACTCGCAAAGGATGACCACTTACGTGCCCAAAAACATTACGAGTTGTGTTATTTAGGTTTGCATGGATAATTGCGGAATTCATTTGCATTAACGATTGAAAGTTGAGAAAAGATCAAACTATGAACGTAAAACGTTACATTTAATAAATATTTAAAATAATGCTTATCTCATATCCTGATGTCCTATCATTGTTACATTTTTCACGAGAAAAATGCTAAGATGACTCTCTCAAAATATAACTTTTTATAAGCTCTCTGCTACTTAACAGTTTAGTGTCAATTTTCATACTAATATTATGAGTATGATTTCCAAGAAAAACTAAGCTTTAATACAACATAATATGAACATTGGTTTGGACTAGAGTTGTTGCTTGTCCAAAGATTAGAAAAAACGGTGTAAGCTTTTCAAACTCTTCTATACTCCTTTTGATAGACTAAGTTTATTTTAATAAAAAAAATCATGCTATAACTTTATTTAATGGAAAAAAACTTAAATTTTAATGAAAAACTCTTAAAGTTAAATAAAAAAGACAAAAAAAACTTAAATTTTAATGAAAAAGACATAATTTTAATATTTAAAAAAATTTGATGCGCAGATCTGCGTGCTACTCACACAAACTGTTTATGAAACTGACTATACTATGAAACTTAATGGTACTACACTGTTTATGAAATTTACTACAGTATTTATGAAACTTAACGGTAGATGCTTGTCCCAGATTTTCAAGTTCTTTCACCAGAATGCAATAAAAAGATAAAACAAATACATGACAATGATCAACATCCACACCGTTAAAGTCATGTGTGGCTAAAAGATAAAAAATAAATAAAAATAAATAAAAAAAAACATAATAAAGATTAACGTCAACGCCCATACCTGACCAACTCCCTCCCAACCATACCGCCCCGAATGTGGTTCTGAATTGAACGGAACTTACTTCAATTTGAAATTTTAATTTTAGAGGAATAAAATATGTTTGGATTATGTCAAAGGGTTATTCAACTGAAGGATTTGTTGGGTGTTCTTTGCATGTGCCTTTAGTTAGGTTTTTGTTGTTTTTTGTTTTTTTCTTTCTCTTATCCTTATCATTAAATAAAATTATAACATAATTTTGTTGTTAAAACTCGAAATTTTGAAATCTTTTTTGTTAGTTTTTTATTTATTTAAGACTTATTTTTTGAAACATTGTAGACAAAGATATATACGGTTGGATACGGTGGACCCCACCAGCTAGCAAAAATTCAACGATGGACATTAATCATCGCAATGACCAAAGCATCCACCCAGGAAGAAAATTAAAAATTAAAAATTAGGTTTTTTTAATTGGTGCTAAGATTCTTGTGCACAGTCAACATCCAAAGTTGGATTGGTAATTACGCCGGTTAACATTGGCTAAACATATTTTATTTCTGTTTTCAAAAAAAAAAAAAAAACATATTTTATTTCCTTGTTCAAAGTAATCATCTTCGTCTTTGCAGTTTCAGCGAAGTTTCATTTTGATCTCTGCAGTTTTAACTATCTTAATTGGACTCTGCCCTCCCACTTTCCGTGCCCTCCTGTTTGTGTAGTCACGGTTAAGCTATGTCAACATTTTATATTACTATTCATTTTTGTCTTATTATCTCTATAAAAATAAAAAATAAATTATTTATATGACTTAACTGTGACCATACAAAACAGGAGGACACGAGAAGTGAGAGGGAAGATAATCTGCCTCCATCTTAATTAGTCTTTATAGTTTAATATTTGCCTCGGTTTATGGACAATGGCTTGACAACTTTTATACAAAGAGAAATGTTAAGGAGATTCTCTTAAAATAAGACTCTTCATCGA